TGGTATGGTGAGTAGGTTTTGAGGGAAATTCATGTATGGTTTTTTTGTTTTGTTTTGTTTTGTTTTGTTTTTTAAGGGATAGAGGAGGAAGACATTACAAAGTATAAATATGTGGAGTTTAGATATAGAATAAAATAAGTTTCTCTTTAAGATTCAGTGCTTCATAACATTTTTTCCCCCTCAGCTTCTGTCTTTTTTCTTTTTTCTTCAGCTTCTGTCTTGCAGCCAATCAGTTGCCAAGTCTTATTGATTCTACCTCCCCAACATCTTTGGCATGTGTCATCGTCTTTTTACTCAAATAACCACCATCCTAATTCAAGTCCTTATTACTTCTCAGCTGTTAATAAAATAGCTTTTTAATTGTCGATTGGCTTCTAGGTTTCCCCTATCCAATCCATTTTACACACAGCTACCAAAATAATCTTCCTAAAGCATGTGACATGTCATATTTTTTGCTCAAGAATGTTCACAATTTTTCTCTTCTAGGTTAACTTACAAACTCATCAGCATGACATTTAAAGTCCTTCATATTATGATTCTAGCCCTTTTCCTCTATCTAGAGTTACTTCATCTTATTCCCTTTTATGTTCAGTGTTCAGTGTTTTCTAGTTTAGGTGGGTCGCTTTATGTTATATGAATTTGTTGTTTACTCTCCTATGTCTTAGCTTTTGCATTTCCTTTTATCCCCACCTGGGTACCTGGAATTCCTTCCTTCCTTGGCTCTGCCTCAGAATTCTTAGCTTCTTTCAAGGTTCATCTACTATATAATTATAGATTTAGAGGAGAAGATCTTCAGATATCTCATCTGGTTCAACCTCCACATTTTTTCCCTGCTTAAAACTTTTCCATAGCTCTTTAGTTATTAATGTTCTTATCTTTTTCAAATTATGGTTTATTTACTGATCTGCTTCTGTGTCATAACCCCCAGTAGAATATAAGGTTTTTGAGGGCAGGACTGTTTTTCAGTTTTGTCTTTGGATCTCCATATCCTAGCACAGTATTTGGTGTGAATTAGATTGAATTTTTGTTCAGGAGAAAACTTTAAAAAAGTTTGGTTAGTCATAAGTCCAATTTGATAACCTTAGAATTACATTAAAATATACTTTATTTCTTTTAGAACTGGAAGGGTCTTTAGAGATCCCTAGAACAACCTCATAGGATCATAGCTCTAGAGATGGAAAGAACCTCAGAGGCCATGTGGTACAACCCCCTCAGTTTAAAATCGAGGAAATTGAGTTCCAGGGAAGTTCAGTGAGTTGCCAGAGGTTACACATATTACATGGTAGAGCTGGGATTTAAACCTGGGCCCTCTACATTGAAATTCCCCACTTTTTCTACTGTACCAACACTGTTTCCTATACCTCTTTTTGCTTTGGGATGACTTATAATCACCCCACTCAATAAATAACAGTAACTTTTTCAGATTTGTGATTTTAAATGTGCTTTTTGAGAATGAGCATTACAACTAATTATGCAACAATTCATGTTGGCTTCCTAAGGACAAAATCCTACAACTCAGAGGCAGAGCCAAGATGCTGGAGAAAAGGCAGCAATTTGCCTCAGGTCTCCCCAATATACCATTAAAGAATGCCGTAAAACAATTCCTGGAGCAGCAGAACCCACAAAAGGATAGGGTGAAATAATTTTCCAGCCAAAGACAACTTAGAAGGTCATCAGGAAAGATCTGTCCCATTGGAGTGAGAGTGGAGTACAAACCAGCACTGCCTGTACCGACTGGACCCTAGCAAACCAAGAACAGGCCTTGGCAGTCACTGAATCTGTAGCAGTAGCAGCTGCTTCTGGAGCTTTCAGTAGGGGGAGGTTGAACACCTGATCAGAAGGAGATCACAAGGGTCTCTTTGCTGGCGCTAGGGACAGGACTCTGTTGCTTTGCCCATACTTGAGTCTGTGTTGCAGTCCTGGGTGGCAGTCTCAGGGCAAGGAGGAGTGCTAGCACACCAAAGCTTATGGGCTGTAGTGGAGCAGAGACCCTGATCTTAGTTCCAGGGCAGAAAAGAGTGCTTGTGGTTACTTGCAGACCAGAGCACAGGCCAGGAGAGTAGTAAACACTCTCCTTAGACCACCTTGGAAGAACTAAAAACTTACAGGTCCCTAGAAGTGTCTCTGAAAACAGCTGCACAAAAACTCTGAAGCTTGGGACAGTGCCCTGGAAGCCAAGCCCCACTTTAACAAAGAGTTACAAGTCAAGAAACAGACTGGAAAAATGAGCAGAAAAAAAATTCTGACCAAAAAGGATTTTGAAAATCAAGTAAGAAAAATAGAGGAAAAATTAGGAGAGAAATGAGAATGATACAAGAAAATCATGAACAAAGAGTCAACAGCTTGGTAAAGGAGGAACAAAAAAAATACTTCAGAAAATAACACCTTAAAAAACAAACTAGGCCAAATGGTGAAAGAAGTACAAAAAATCCAAAGAGGAGAAGAATGCATTGAAAAGCAGAATTGGCCAAATGGAAAAGGTGGTACAAAAGCTCACTGAAGAAAATAATTCCTTAAAAATTAGAATTGAGCAAATGGAAGCTAATGACTTTATGAGAAATCAAGAAGCAGTAAAACAAAACCAAAAGAAGGAAAAAGAAATGGAAAGATAATGCAAAATAGCTTATTAGAAAAATACCTTACCTGAAAAATAGATCTAGGGGAGATAATTTTAAAATTATTGGACTGCCTGAAAGCCATGATCAAAAAAAGAGCCTGTATATCATCTTTCAAGAAATTAGCAAGGAAAACTGTCCTAATGTTGAACCAGAGTGTAAAATAGACACTGAAAGAATCCATTGATCACCTCCTGAAAGAGATCCTAAAATGAAATTCCCAGGAATATTGTAGCCAAATTCTAGAATTCTCAGGTCAAGGAAAAAAATATTGCAAGCAGCAAGAAAGAAGCAATTCAAGTGTCATGGAAACATAGTAAAGAGAACACAAGATTTAGCAGCTTCTACATTAAAGGATTGGAGGGTATGGAATATGATATTTTGGCAGTCAAAGTAGCTAGGATTACAACCAAGAATCACCTGTCCATTAAAACTGAGTATAGTCCTTCAGGGGGAAAAAAATGGATATTCAACAAAATAGATGACTTTCAAGTATTATTGATGAAAAGACCAGAGCAGAATAGAAAATTTGCCTTTCAGTTACAAAACTCAAGAGAAGCATGAAAAATTAAACAGTAAAGAGAAATCCTAAGGGACTTAATAAAGTTAAACTGCTTACATTCCTACATGGGAAGATGATACTTGTGACTTATACAGCATACTTGTATCTCCTCATTAGGGCAGTTAGAAGGAGTATACATAGATAGAGGACACAGGTGTGAGTTAAATATGAAGTGATATCTAAAAAAAATAAAATTAAGAGGTGAGAGAGGAATGCAATAGGAGAAATAGAAAGGGAAAAGTAGAATGGGGCAAATTATCTCACATAAAAGAGGCAAGAAAAAGCTTTTACAGTGGAGGGGAAGAGGGAGTCAGTGAACCTTACTCTCATTGGAATTGGCTTAAAGAGGGAATAACCCACACTGAACAGGGTATAGAGATATATCTTACCCTACAGGAAAGTTGGAGGGGAGAGGGATAAGTGAAGAGGGAGTGATAGAAGGGAAGGAAGATTGGGGGAGGTGGTAGCCAGAAGCAAAACACTTTTGAGGAGGGATAGGGTGAAAGGAGAGAGAATAGAATAAATGGGGAAAGAGTATGGAGGGAAATACAGTTAGCAGTTTTAACTGTGAAAAACATTTTGAAGCAAGTTTCTCTGATAAAGGCTTCATTTCCAGAATATGTAGACAGCTGAGTCAAGAGCCACTCCCCAACTGATAAATGATCAAAAGATATGAGCAAGTGTTCAAATGAAGTAATCAAAGCTATCTGTAGCCATATGGAAAAAAAATGCTCTAAATCACTATTGAGTGGAGAAATGCAAATTAAAGCAATTCTGAAGTACCACCTATTAGATTGGCAAATAGGACAGAAAAGGAAAATGACAAATGTTGGAGGGGATGTGGGAAAAATAAGACATTAATGTACTGTTGGTGGAGTTGTGACCTGATTCAACCATTTTGTAGAACAATTTGGAACTATGCCCAAAGGGCTATAAAACCATGCATAACCTTTGACCTAGCAAAACCACTACTAGGTCTGTGTCCCAAAGAGATAAAAAACAAAAAGTAAAAGGGTGTAGATTTACAAAAAAATATTTATATCAGATTTTTTCTGTTGGCAAAGAATTGGAAATAAAAAGGATGCTTATCAATTGGGCAATGGCTGAACAAATTGTGGTATGTGATTGTGATGGAATATTATTATGCTATAAGAAATGATGAGCAGGATGCTGTCAGGAAAACCTGGAAATACTTGCAGAAGCTAATGCAAAATGACATGCACTGTGTACAAAGTAACAGCAATATTGTAGGATGATCAGCTGTGAATGACATATCTATTGTCAGCAATACAGTGATCCCAAGACAAATCTGAAGGACTTAGGATGAAAAATGCTCTCCATCCCCAGAGAAAGAACTGATGGTGTCTTAATACAGATTAAAGCATATATATGTGTATATATGTGTGTGTGTGTGTGTGTGTATATATATATATATATATATATATATATGTATATATATATATATATATATGTATATATATATATATATATTTTTTTTTTACACTTTATTTTTCTTGAGGTTTTTTTTATGTTTTCCACAACATGATTAATATGGAAATATGGTTTGCATGACTATGTAGTATAACCTATATTGAATTGCTTGCCTTCTCAATGTGGGGTATGGGGAGGTAGAAAGGGAGAGAATTTGGAACTCAAAGTTTTAAAAATGAATGTTAAAATTTGTTTTTACATCTAATTAGGGAAAAATAAAAATACTAAGCAAATTTTTAAAAATCATGCAACTCATACAACCTACAGTAACTTTTTGAGTATATAACATGTCATCGATGTAATTTTTTTCTTTTTTCTTTCCTTACCAATAGCTACAAATGTATCCACCAGAGCCTGGAAGACAATAATAGGTGTCCCAAGTGTAACTATGTTGTGGATAATATCGACCATCTTTACCCTAATTTCTTAGGTGAGTATTTGGAAATGGTTTCTTTTAGATGCCATTTATTGTGTAGTACCTGATAATTAAGATTTCTTAGAGATGCCAAGTTAGAGACAAATAACTCTAGTATTTTGTTGCTATAAGACTTGTCTGTACCTGTTAGAAAAGCAATACTTTAACTGTTTAACCTAAAACTAGTATTTTGTGCAATGTCCTGTTTGCTTTTTTTAGGATGTATACATCTGATTAGTGGATGTTGCTTTTGTAGTGGTTGTCTGTTTCTTTTTGAGGAAAGCTAGGTGAATAAAGTGCTGGACTTGGTGTAAGGAAGATTCCTTAGCAGCTTATTAGTTCTGTGATCCTGGGCAAATTACTTATTCTCACTAAGCCTCAGTGTATTTTTTTTATCTGTAAAATGGTAATAATAATAGCACCTTCTTCATCTGGTTGTTATGAGGATCAGTTGAGATAACACATGGAGCACTTTGCAAACCTGAAGGTGTTTTGCTAATTGAATAATACTGTTTTAACTTCATATGGATAAAATAAGGTTACATTACGTAAGTAAATGTTTTCAGCTTTTATTCTTCTTACAAAACTTTATAATGATTAAAGAGATATAAAGTTAAATTCAGTTCTCTCTTTGCATCAGTAAAAGTTGGAAGGAACCCATTGAGTCTGAATGGCTGTAGTCAATTTAGAATCTAAAATCCTTGGTGTAATAGCATATTATAGAGTCTTTTTTATGTAAGATGTAGTTATGTGTTTTTTAAAGATTAAATTCCATAGTAAGGAAAGATTATTATGTCAGAGTAGAAATGTATCACTAGGAATATAATTTAGACAATCTAATTTGTTAAAAGATCTTTACATAGCATATATGGTATAGTTAAAGATTTTCTAGGAATTATAATAAATTTAACATTCCTGCCTTGTATGGAATTTTGCTCTTGATTTTTTTTTACTCTTTTTGCATCTTTATGCTTTTCCTCTCCCATGGGCTCTTTGATTTTATACATACATACATACATACATACATACGTACATACATATATACAAACAAGAGGTATTCCTTGGTAGGTAAATGGTCAAAAGATAGATATAAATATTCCTACACTCACATTATATATCTAAGTTCCTTATACATCTTGGACATCAGTTCTTTATTGGAGAAATTTGCTGCCAAGATTTTTCCTCTTGCTAATTATTTCTGTTCTAATTCTAACTGTATTACTTTTGTTTGTATAAACAGTTTTCAATTTCAGATGATCAAAATTGTCCATTTAGTTTCTTGTTAAACTTTCTATTCCTTGTATAATCAAGAACTCTTCCCTGTGCATAGTTGTGAAAGGTATGCTGTATCATATCTAAGTGATAGATTTAGATTTCTTAATTCCCTTTTAGGTTCCAAATAGAAATTTAGATTTCTGTTCTAAGAATAGGTTTCTTAGAATCTATTTCAGATTTCTAGAATAAAGAGTCTGGAATTTTAAATTTCTTTTTAGGACCATGACTTCTTGTTTATAATTTTGTTAGTTTTTTTAGGATGAAATGAGGCATGTTCAGGTCCCCAAATATTGTACTTTTTCTATTTCTCTCTGTAATTTGAGTAACTTTTTCTTTAAGAACTTGGATGCTTTTCCATTCAATGCATATATATTAAATATGGATATTATTTCATTATCTATGATGCCTTTAGAGGCATTAGGTGGTACAGGGGGTAGAGTACTGGATCTAGAGTCAAGAAGACCTGAGTTCAAATGTAGCTTTAGACAATTGCTGGCTTTGTGACCTCAGGCAAGTCGCTTAAACTCTGTCTGCCTCAGTTCCCTCAGCTATAAAATGGGGATAATAATAGCACTACTCTTCCAGGATTTTTATGAGAATCAAATGAGATAATATTTGTAAAGCATTTAGCACAGTGCCTGGCACATAGTAGATGCTTAATAGATGCTTGTTTCCTTCCTTCTTTCCTTTTGTTAAGTATACTGGTTTTTCTGCTTCTCCCTTTTGGTTGTATCTTTTTTAATGTTCCTATTTTCAGATTAAATTGCTATTCCTGTTTTTTTCAGTTTGCATGAAGCATAATATATTCTCCTCCAACTTCTAATTTTAATTCTGTGTAAATATGTGTGTGTATGTGTGTGTGTGTGTGTGTGTGTGTGTGTGTGTGTTTGTGTTTACTGTAAGGAGCATATTGTTAAATTGTTTTCTAATCCATTCTGCTGCCCTTCTCTATTTTCTAGGTGAGGTCTTCTAATTTACATCATTGTTATTGTAATTTGCATATTTTTCTTCATATCTTTTTATACTTTTTCCTCTTTTTCCTCCCAGCCCATTCTTTATAAAGTTGTTGTTGTTGTTTGTCCTTGTTTGTCCTTGGTTCTTGAAGAGGCCATGACATCAGGGAGGTGATGCCATGACATGTAAGTGAATTGGATTTTAAGTGAGGGAGGGCTGTGCAAAGTCACCAGCTTCACTTTCTCCTCTGGAGCCATCTGGGTCCAGTGGTGAGATTTAAACAGGATGGACTGGAGATGGCCCTAGATGCAGTGGAGACCTTGGCCTTTTTAAACTAAGGTCTTTAATAGGTTTCAGTTTGACTGAGGTAACACCCATTCAGTGATTAAGGCTAGGTAAGAAATGAGCTCTTTATTAAAGAAAGGGATAGAGAAAGAGAAGGAATTTGATCAGTACTAGTTATCTATAATTTATATGGTCTTTTAAATCTGTCCTTTATGATAAACTCAGAAATTGAAGTTTTCCATGTGACAGCTCCTTTTCCTAACTCTATTCTCCTTCTTAGACTCTATTTCCTTTATCCTTTTCCATGTGTATTTCTCTGTTGAGTTACACACCGAACCTTGTATGTCTCTCTGTGTGTATGTGTGTGTTTTCATTCCTTCTTTGTTTTGTTCAGATGGGGTCATGTGATACTGTTCCCCAGACTACTTTCTTTATGTTTATAGACTTTTCTTCTTATGTGCCCCATTTATCTGAAATAGTAAGCTCCTGTGTTCTTCCTCATTTATTCCATACTGTGTTCTTTTCTGTACATTTTATTTCATTTAAAAAACTGAAAAAGACCGTCACTCAGGCCTTGTTTTTGTTTTATTTCCTTCTCTCTGTAACCCGTGAAGACATAACACATCCCTTCTCCGTTGTTTGGTCCCCTCTAATTATTCTATGTATTTACCTTCCTATGTTTCTCTAGCCTGCAGTCTTTGCATTTCATATTGTGTCCTCTCCTTTGGTATTTTCATTAAGAATGATTGAAAGTTCCCTATTCTATTTAAAGTCCATTTTTCCTCCTGTGTGATCACTTTTACAGGATAAGTTATTCTTGGGTTTAAGTGGTTATCTTTTGCCTTTTTGTATGTTATATTCTATGATTTTCTCTCCTTTAGGTAAGTTGTGGCCAAGATTTGTTTGATCATGACTATGGTTTCTTGGTATTTGAATTTTTTTTCTGCAGGTTAAAGAATTATTTTTTTGCTTTGCCTTTTGGAAAGATTAATATCTTTCCAATAACATTCTTGGGACTTTTCTGTTTGTGGTTTCTTTCAACAGGTGATTGGTAGATTCTTTCTATTTTCACTTTGTTCCCTTGGTTCTAGTAGATCTGGGAAGTTGTTTTTGTTTTGTTTTTTTTTTGGTCTTTGATTTCAAGGATTTTGGTGATTCTTAAATTTTCTCTTCTGTTTTCTCAGTTTCTGATGGTAGGTATTTTAAATATTCTTTTTTTTGGTTTTAAGAATTTGTTTCTTTATGATGTTGTCATTTTCTAAATTGTTCTCTTGGTTCTATTAATTTCATTCTGCTTCATTTCATACTTTCCTGGATTCTCTGAAATTATCTCTTTCTTCCTTTCTTATGGCATAGTAACATTCCACTAGTTTCATATACCACAGTCTCCAGTATTTTCTTCAGAATATAAGAGGCAATCTAAGGCATCCCCTTATAAGGTATCACTAATTCCTGAAAATAAGGCCTTATTTGGTTTCTTGAACATCATTCACCCTGGTGTAATTTTTTTTCCTACTTCTTTTTTTTAAATATAAATTTATTTATTTTTAGTTTTCAGTATTCACTTCCACAAGTTTTTGAGTTTCAAATTTCTCACCCCTCCCCCCACCCCAAGATGGCATGCATTCTGAATACCCCTTCCCCTGGTCTACCTTCTCTTCTATCTCTCTCCCCTCCCTTCTCTTATCCCCTTCCCCTTCTATTTTCCTGTAGAGCAGGATAGACTTCTGTACCCCATTTCCTGTATTTCTTATTTCCCAGTTGCATATGAAAATATTTTTTTTAAACATGTGTTTTTAAAACTTTGAGTTCCAATTTTTCTCCCTTCCTCCCTCCCCACCCACCCACCCTCATTGAAAAGGCAAGCAACTCAATATAAGTTGTACATGTGCAGTTATGCAAAACACTTCCTAGTAGACATGTTGTGAAAAACTAAGTCTATTTCCCTTGATCCTATCCTGCCCTCCCATTTATTCTATTCTTTCTTTTGACCCTGTCCCTTCTCAGAAGTATTTGCTTCTGATTGCCCTCTTTCCCAGTCTGCCCTCCTCTCTATCACCCCCCTGCTTTCTTGTCCCTTTCTCCCCCTATTTTCTGGTAGGGTAAGACAGATTTCCATACCCAATTGAATGTGTATGTTATTCCTCCTTAAGCCAAATCCTATGAGAATAAGATTCCCTCATTCCCTCTCACCTTCCCCTGTTTCCCCTCCACTGTGAGACTTTTCTTTTCTGTTTTTTTTTGTGAGATAATTTACCCCATTCTACCTCTCCCTTTCTTCTCTAGTATATCCTCTCTCATCCCTTAATTTTATTCTCCAGATATGACCCCTTAATCTTCAACTCACCCTGTGCCCTCTATCTATCTATCTATCTATCTATCTATCTATCTATCTATCTATCTATCTATCTGTCCTTACATACATATATACAGTTTTTTTCCTTCAACTACCCTAATACTGACAAAGTTCTCATGAGTTATAAATATCATCTTTCCATGCAGGAATGTAAACAGTTCAATCGTAATAAGTCTCTTATGATTTCTCTTTCCTGTTTACCTCTTCATGTTCCACTGAGTCCTGTATTTGAAAGTCAAATTTTCTATTCAGCTCTGGTCTTTTCATCAGGAATGCTTGAAAGTCCTCTATTTCACTGAATGACCATTTTTCCCCTGAAGGATTATACTCAGTTTTGCTGGGTAGATGATTCTTGGTTGTAATCCTATCTCCTTTGCCCTCCGGAATGTTATATTCCATGTCCTGCGGTCCTTTAATGTAGAAGCTGCTAAATCTTGTGTTATCCTGATTGTGTTTCCACAGTACTTGAATTGTTTCCTTCTGGCAGCTTGTAATATTTTCTCCTTGACCTGGGAACTCTGGAATTTGGCTATAATATTCCTAGGAGTTTTCCTTTGGGGATCTCTTTCAGGAGGAGATCTGTGGATTCTTTCAATTTCTATTTTGCCCTCTGGTTCAATAATCAGGGCAGTTTTCCTTGATAATTTCTTGAAAGATGATGTCTAGGCTCTTTTTTTGGTCATGGCTTTCAGATAGTCCAATAATTTTTAAATTCTCTTTCCTGGATCTATTTTCCAGGTCAGTTGTTTTTCCAATGAGATATTTCACATTGTTTTCTAATTTTTCATTCTTTTGGATTTGTTTTACAGTGTCTTGATTTCTCATAAAGTCACTGCTTCCAATTGCTCTATTCTAATTTTTAAGGAAGTATTTTCTTCAGTAATCTTTTGGACTTCCTTTTCCATTTGGCCAATTTTTCTTTTTAGGGCATTTTCTCCTCATTGGCTTTTTGGACCTCTTTTGCCATTTGGGTTAGGCTGTTTTTTAAGGTGTTATTTTCTTCAGTATTTTTTTGGGTCTCCTTTAGCAAGCTGTTGACTTGTTTTTCATGATTTTCTTGCATCACTCTCATTTCTCTTCCCAGTTTTTCCTCTACTTCCCTTACTTGCTTCTCAAAATCCCTTTTGAGCTCTTCCAAGGCCTGGGACTGATTCATATTTTTCTTGGAGGCTTTGGATGTAGGAGCTTTGACTTTGTTGTCTTCTTCTGGTTGTATATTTTGATCTTCTTTTCACCAAAGTAAGATAATATAGTCTGACTCTTTTTGCGCTGCTTGCTCATGATCCCAGCCAATTACTTGAGTTTTAAACTCTTGTTAAGGTAAGAGTCTGCTTCCAATGTGGAGAGTGTACTGTCCCAAGCTTCAGGGGTTTGTGTAGCTGTTTTCAGAGATACTTAGGGACCTGTAAATTTTCAGTTCTTCCAAGGTGGTATGATAAGGGGAGGTGTTTACTCCTTTCCTGGCCTGTGACCACAAGTATTCCTTTCTGTCCCGTAACTGTGAGGAGGGGTTCCTCTCCACAGCCACTACAAGCTCCACCACGCCAGTGCTCCTCCTCACCCCAGCACTGCCGCCCAGAACTGTGACCCAGATCCACACACGGGCAAAGCAAGAGATTCCTTCCTGAGCACTGGCAAAGAGATCCCTGCAGTCCCTCTCTGATCAGGCACTGGATTCCCCCTCAGTCTGTTGGCCGGAAGCTCGGGAAGCAGCTGCTGCCTCCCGCCCCCACCCAGGACCACACTCTTGGGAATGGAGCTGAGACCCCGCCTTCCTCTCTGACCACCGACAGAAACAGACTTTTCCCACTGACCTTCTAAGTTGTCTTTAGCATTAGTGGGTTGAGGAGTCTGGAAACCTCCACAGCTGCCTGCGATACAGTCATCTGAGGCCTGCTCCAGGTTTGCTGTGGCCTGCGCACCCACGCTGCGCTGCGCTCCCAGCCCTGTGTGATACACCTTTCTGATCAATCATCCGGGTTGTCTTGGGCTGGAAATTTGTTTCACTCTGTCTTTTTGTGGGTTCTGCTGCTTCAGAATTTATTTAGAGCCATTTTTTATGAGTATTTGGAGGGGTTTGGGGGAGAGCTCAAGCAAGTCACTGCTTTCACTCTGCCATCTTGGCTCCGCCCCCCTTTTTCCTACTTCTTACTGGAGTAGCTGTTGAGGAGCTCACTTATTTGACTTTCATTCAGACAGCCATCATTCAGGCAGGAAGTCTTGTCGTCACTATCACTGTCACCATCATCATTATTAGCTCTCCTTTTCTTTCTACTCCTCCATTAAAAAAATTTAAAAAACCCCAACCTTCTTTGTAACAAATTAGTATAGTCAAGCAAAACAAATCCAAACAGTGGTTCTGTCTGAAAATGTGTATCTCCTTTGCACCTTGAGTCCATTACTTTTCTCTCAGGAGCTGGGTATCATTCATCATCGTTAGTCCTTTGGAGTCATGGTTGGTCATTGCGTTGATCAGAATTATTAAGTCTTTCAGAGTTGTTTCTCTTCGTAGTATTGTAGTTGTTGTATGTGTTGTTCTTCTGGTTCTGCACATTTTACTCTGCATCATTTCATAGCACCAAAGATTTAATACTTGAAGCCCAATCTGTGATCTTATAGATGAGGAGACATAGATATGCTTGTATAAATATGGTTTTCCTGTGTAAAGAAATAGTCCCGTAGTCCCTTTCCAAATGATTTTGTTGTTGTTGTTTAGTTATTTTTCAGTCGTGTTTGATTCTTCCTGACCACATTTGGGGTTTTTCTTGGCAGAGATACTAGAATGGTTTGTCATTTGTTTTCTCCAGCTCGTTTTACAGATAAGAAGACTGAGACATATAGGGCTAAGTGACCTGTCCAGGATCACACAGCTAGTAAAAGTCTGAGGCCAGATTTGAACTCTGGAAAAGGGGACTTCTTGACTCCAGGCCTGGAACTCTATCCACTCTGCCACCTAGCTGCCCCAGAAGACAAGGCCTTATAATTGGGGAGCAAAGGCATAAAGATTTAATACAGTGACTGAGACATAATTATGCATTAATATTATTTACCTGTGTAAGTCCAAGTAATACAGTATAGGCAAATCGAGAATAAGATAGTATATAATAGGAAAACCCACTTTTTTTGTTTGTAGTTACCATTTTTTTGTCCAAAGGCTTGAGATTATTGGGGGGGAGGTGCGCACGTGCACGCATGCATATGTGTGTTTGTGTTTTGACACTGACATCTGCTAATGGGTTGGTAATATGACTGCTAAGAAGTCGAGACACATGATTGGGATATTAGAGTGGTAACTGACTTAGTGATGTTAGAGATCTTTTCAGGCTTTGAGATCCATTAGTGGATCCTGAGCTACTAGTTGGAGACAGTTTGTTTCCCTTCCTTCCCTTAAGGGTCTTCCTCTTCCCTCAGCAAGGATAGAAATAGACAGGCATAAATAAACAACAGTTCATATGAGAAAATCCTAGGGATTTCATTGTACTGCAAGCTTAATAAGTGTGATGTGGTAACCAAAGCAAGTCAAACAGTTTTAGTCTACATTATTAGAAACATAATGTCCAGAAATATGTAGATAGCAGTCATGGTATACTAACCATGGTTAGACCACATCTGAATTCTATCCCTTTTAATAGTACAGTAATATTCCACCCCTTAGTTTTATTTTTTAGCAATCATCCCTTCATATTCAGCTCACCGTGTACCCTCTGTCTGTGTCTGTCTGTCTGTCTGTCTGTCTATCTATCTATCCATATAATTTTTTCTCCTCCAACTACCCTAATACTGAGAAAGGTCTTATGAGTTACAAATATTATCTTTCCATGTAAGAATGAAAACAGTTCAACTTTAATAAGTCCTTTATCATTTCTCTTTCCTGTTTACTTTTTCATTCTTCTCTTCAGTTTTGTAACTGAAAGTCAGATTTTCTATTCTGCTCTGGTCTTTTCATCAAGAATGCTTGAAAGTCCTCTATTTCATTGCATATGCATTTTTTTCCCCTTGAAGGATTATACTCAGTTTTTCTGGGTAAATGATTCTTGGTCTTAATCCTAGCTCCTTTAATCTCTGGAATATCATATTTCATACCCTCCAATCCCTTAATGTAGAAGCTGCTAAATCTTGTGTATTACTGAACAGGTATTATGTTTATTTCAGTAGATTTGCCCATTCTTTGAAATGGTTAATAGTAAACAAAGCAAGAGAAAAAGTCCATATTTTCTGCTTTATGTAAATTATTGTATGTTTTGTGTTTATGAAATTAAAATGATTCAGCCAATTAAAATAGCCAAGCCTGATACATATAAAATGATAAATTCTTTTTCTTCCCAGTGAATGAACTCATTCTCAAACAGAAGCAAAGATTTGAGGAAAAGAGGTTCAAGTTGGACCATTCAGTGAGTAGCACCGTATGTTTCAACTCTTTTTTTAAACTACATTTTATAACTCATTTTGTTTTTACCTAACAGTTTAATCTTAAGGAGATTAGAATAATTTATCATTGATCTAACTGAAGGAAATTGTTTGGTCTCTATAGGATTTTCCAAATAAAATTTTAAGAATTACCTACTTATAGTAATTTGTATTACTTATTTTGTTTGTGACTATCTGGAGCAATTAATGGGTAAAGTTAGTCTCCTTAAACTTTAAAATCTGTGAAAACAATGACCAAATTTTTAGTCAGCCTTTTTTTAACTACATAAGTGCCTAGTCAATTGTGCTTTTAGTAGCAGCCACTTAATAAGTATTGAATTTGATTAGAATAAGCCCTAATGAGAATGAAATGGGATTTTGAAGAAAAGAATTGAGATTGAGGAAAAGAAGATGAAATTACTGTGAGAAAAGATTTTTGATAATCTCTCCAAAAATCTTGTATTTGGGAGGACTGGTCCTAAATGGGTTCTAACTTACATTTGGGTGAAGGAACTATACAGTATCTCATCAAATAGACCCTTGAAAGAACTATTTGAGCTCACATTATCATTAGCAATAATAATAATTCCAGTAATAACTCATCCTTTAAACATTCTTTTAAAAAATACTGCTGTTTTTATTGTGCTGAATAACCAACTTAGTGTGATTTTTACTCTTTGGAGTCCTTTCACATATTTTATTCAGATAATCTGATCTGGAATTAAATTAAAGTCAAGTCTGTTTAATTCAATAGAGTATAGCCTATGAAACTAAAACATGGTCCCAATCATGCTCCTAGATGAGTAAGCAATGAAATATTGAGGGTTTTAAAGAACTTCCTCCTGCATTTGTACACCAATCCTTCAGATCATCTGTCAATTTGATCAGAAAGTGAAAATGAATTCCCTTTATTGTAGATTTTTGGCAGTGTAAGCAATGGCACTGCTTATATTTAATATGACTAACAATTCAGGAGAATGTGCTTCCTGTGAGAGTATAAACTCATCAAGGACCAATGCCATTTCTTAATTTTTGTTTATAATGATAGAATGTTTTACACAGAGTAGCCTTCTGATAAACATTTCTGGAATGAATGTTGTACAGCAGTGCATATGAGAACACCTCAAACTTGAACAATATCAGATTTTAACTATTAACATTAAAATTTGCAAAACACAAAATCCTTAGCTCTAAGAAAATATTTTATTTCTATCTAACAGACTGTTCTGATTAGACCCAAGTCATATGAAAAATAATTTTCTCATAACTTTATTCATTTCTCTATATTACATTTCACTAGAGTCTTGCATTATTTACTCTTTAGTTGTATATTTTATAGTTTGAGAGATATTTAAAGGTTTATGGAAATTGTTCCAAATTTCTATTGAACAGAAACTTTACAACAGATCTTATATATATAAATGTATACTTCTTTATGAAACACAATAATTAGTGCTTTAAAAAAGTACTAAGGACTGAAGTGCTTATTAAGTAGTTGGGCCTCAGTCTATGCCTGTCTCTGGGATGAGAATTGGATCAATTTTTTGTTTCTTTGCTTCTAGCATCAGTGGTGTAGTGTCTTAGTCATAGGCTTCTATCTTCAGAACCTTAAACCCTAGGTGATTTAAGATTTACATATATTCTATCACTTGCCATAGGGGTAGACATATTCAAGCCAAGGTAGTGAGCATGTGTAGCTTTTACTTGAGGGAAGAGGAGCTTTTTGGGAAAGAGGAAGGGCATTCTGTTTTTTAGATCAGAGCTACAGCCCTCCTTGTCTGGATGGAGAGAGAATATCCCTCCTAGGTTCTTACAGAAAATGTTCAGTTATTGGCTTCAAAGCAACTGAGTTTTCTCAGTGAACTTAATGGAGCACTAAAGACACTTTTTATTAAAATATAAAATCTTGAAATAGCTTTCTAACTTAGAGATTTAATTAATGCATCTTTTTTGTGTATGTTCTAGAATAATAATAATTAGCAGTTTATCACTTTATTTAAGAATGAATGACCGGTTTGATTATTTTTGGCATGAAGGTGCAAATGAAGAAGAGTCAAGATTTTTGCTATGAAAGTAGAAGGACATAGCCATGAGGGTGAAGACAGAATGTTTAAATTTCATCCAGAAGGCAATGTTGAGCCATTGGCAGGGAATCAGTGGCTTGGAATGTGGTAGTAGTATGTTTTTGAAGACAGCATAAAAAGCATAATGGAATCTTATAATTTAAAAATATATTATAGAAGCATGTAGAATATACTTTTTGTTAGTTAAGGTTTTGTATTTCCTCTCTCTTTTCATTTCTGCTATTTCAGAATGGCCACAGGTGGCAGATATTTCAAGATTTATTGGGAACTGATCAAGATAACCTTGACTTACCCAATGTCAACCTGATGCTGGAACTACTTGTGCAAAAGAAAAAACAGCTGGAGGCAGTAAGTGGAAGGGTTTTTTGGTTTGTTTTTTGTTTTTCTTGTTTTTTCTTTAATCTTGCCCTATATCAGGTTTGTTATTTAAATAGATATGGGAATAGTTTTAGAAGTAGGAAGATGATGTAATTCAATCTACCTTTTTTCCAGTTCAGGCAGGCAAAATCATTTCTTATTTTCATTAGCACCCCCTCTTGAATCAAAAGGCAACTATCAAAATTAATTTCTTTTTGCTGAAAATAAATGGAATAAGTAAACAAGGCTGTTGTACTCTGCATCACTTAAACATGTCTGGATTATTGGGTCTACTACTGATGGGTGCCACATTTCAGAAGGGACATTGACAATCTGCACTTATTCAGAGAAGGTTAACCTTGATGGTGAAGGGGTCTCAAAAACAGTGTTAGATGAAGAATTGGTTAAAGGACCTGGAGATGAATGTTTAGCCCAAAGAATAAAAGACTGAAGAGGAGATATGGATGCAGTCTTTAAAAAGGTTGATAGGTAAAAACACATTTAAATTGTTTTTCCGTGATCCCAGTAGCTAGAACTAGGCTCAGAGGGTAGAGTAAAGGTTAATAGAGAAATGTATTTCAACTCAACATAAGGAAAAAACTCCTAACATTTATAACTATCAAAAAGTTGAATGGGTTACCTTTGGAACTAGTGGATTTCTCTTCACTTAGAGGATTCTTTTTGGAGTATGGGTCAGACTAGGTGTCCAGTGAAGTCCTTTCCAACTAAGAAATGTGATTATGTGTTTTAGGAACAAAGTCTTTTTTGGTAGTAATAAATCTCAATTGCTTATATTTTGTATTAGTCTCAATAAAAGCTATGCCCCCTCCCCCACTGCCTAAAATTTGGCCCACATAAGATTTGAGTACTGCTTGTATTCAGTCTTATTTTTCAGCATATACATATGCGTGTATGTATATACATTCCTATTGAAAGAGTTTTCATTTTAGTGCCCACAAAAATATATTTTGAACACTATAGTAGTTGATATTAGTGGGGAAATTGAGAAAAAGTTAAATTTGATTTAGAGATAGCTTTTGAGAACTGCATTTTTGTATATATGCTTAATCACATCATGGCCATTATGTTCTTTTTAAAGCACTTTGAAATCTTTTTTTTTTCTTTTTGGTGAGGCCTTTGGAGTTAAGTGACTTGCCCGGTGTCACACAGCTAGTAAGTGTATGAGGTTGAATTTGAACTCAGGTTCTCCTGACCCCAGAGCTCTACTCACTGCACCACCTAGCTGCCCCCACTTTGAAATCTTAAACAAGAAATGTTAAAACTTTGTTATATAGCTGTCCTTCCAGTGGAAAAGCTGCCTTTTATCGTTAGGTTCAGAGTGTAGTCAGTCAATAAACATTCATTGTTTTCATTCATTTTTTCATCTTTGTATTTCTTAGACATATTTGATCACTTCCCCTTCTCTTGGCTTCTGTGACACTTCTCATTCTCTTCTTTGCCTGTCTGACTATTCCTTTGCAGTCTACTTCGCTGGAACATTCTTACCTACTGCCTCTTAAACGTGCCTGCTCACAGGGGTCTGACATCTCTTCTCTCCATGTTTTCAGAGATTGCTTCCAAATCTATATATTCAGTCTAGATCTCTTTCTTTGAATTCCAGTCTTCCATTTCTGTGGACTGATGAACTACTCTGAATAAAGGCTTGGCAAACCTCCAGACCATGACTCTTCTGTTGGTTCTGTTCTCTCTGCTTGTATCATCACTACCCTAGACCAGGCCCTTTTCTTGTCTAGACCATTGTAAAAACCTTCTAGTTGGTTCCCTTTCCTCAAGTCTTCTCTCTCCCTTCTGTCCCCTACTCTGATTTCAGAGTTGTCTTTCTAAAGCATAGATAGATGTGACTGCTTACCAGTGCCCAAGTCAAGAGGCTTCAGTGACTCTCTGTTATCTCTGATGGGGGTGGGGTGGGAGGAGTGTTTTAACAAATTAAAAAAAATCATTTTGATAACTTCATTTCAATATAATTAATTTCCTTTGTATATAATTTACTTTATGCTTTTGAAAAATTATTCTGACCTTCATAGGCTTCAACAGACTTCCAAAGAACTCTATTATACAAAAAAGGTTCGAAGCCACTGCTCTAGATTAAATACAAATTCATCTGATATTTAAAGCCTTTAATGCTCCAACCTTCCTTTTTAAATGGATTACACATTACTCTCCCTTAGGTACTCTGCTTCTAGTTGAACTGACTTGCTTTTTTCCTATTCAGGATATTTCAAACCCCTGCTGTGAATGCTTTCTCTCCTCATCTTTATCCGTTGGACTCTCTAGCTTTATTCAGAGCTCATTTTGTGTCACTGATTATATATGGCATCTCCACCTACCTATTGCATATATCATATTGGATGTTCTGAAGCATCTTAAACTCAGTATGTTCAAAACTGTACTTGTTTCTCCCCTCCCCTCTTTCCTTATTTTTTTCCCCTTTTACTGTTGAGGGGACCATGGTTTTCCTTATCACAGAGGCTTACAACCTAGGTGTCAGCCAGGAGACAGCTAGGTGGCACACTGAATAGTACCCTGGGCCTGGAGTCAGGAAAACGTGACTTCAAATCTATTTCATCTACTTACTAGCAGTGTGACCCTGGGCACAACAGTTGACCTCTGCCTCAGTTTCCTCAAATGTAAAAGGATTACAATCTTGCCTCGCAGGGTTGTTAAAATATCTGTGAAGGGCTTAGCACAGTGCCTGGAACATGTTGTCATTGTTCAGTCATTTCAGTTGTGTCCGACTCTGCGTTACCCCCCATTTGGGGTTTTCTTGGAAAAGACAGTGGAGTGGTTTGCTGTTTCCTTCTTCACCTTACTTTATAGATGAGAAAACTGAGGCAAACAGGGTTAAGTGACTTTTCCAGGATCACACAGCTAGTTAGTATCTGAGGCCAGTTTTGAACTCATGGAGAGCAGTCTTCCTGACTCCAGGCTCAGCACTTGTATCTGCTGTGCTACCTAGCTGCCCATACTATGCCCAGCACATACTAGGCACTTACATTCTTGTTTCTTCTCTTCTTCCTTGCCTTGAAATTGTCACCCCCTATATCCATTCTGTTGCCAAGTGCTGTTGATTTTGCTTTCATTATGTCTCTTGTATATGCCTCCTCCTATCCTCAAATAGTGTCAGGCCCTCATCTATTATAACAGCTTTCTGGTTGGTCTCCCTGCCTCAAGTTTCTCTCCTTTCCATTCCATCCTCCACTCAGCTATTAAAATTGATCTTCCATGTCACCCCCTTATACATTAAACTCCTGTGGTTCTCTCTCATCTTTAGGATCAAATATAAATATAAAATTCTCAGTTTGGCATTCAAAGCCCTTTGAACCTGATAACCACTTTTTATCTTTCCAGTGTTTTATACCTTGTGCCACCCTTCCTTCCCACCCAAATGCTCGGTGATCCTGTGATAACTGGCTCCCTTCCTATTCCTTGCAGAAGACACTGGATCTCCCAACTCCATGAATTTTTGCTAGTTGTTTCTCTGTGCCTGAAATTCTTTCTCTCATTTTCATCTTTTGACTTCTTAGCTTCCTTCAAATTCCAGCTAAAATCTCACCTTCTACAGAAAGCTGTTTCTGATTGTCCTAAATGCTGGTGCCTTCCATCTATTGATTATCTCCAGTATATCCCATATGCTTTTTGTTTGTAAATAATTGTTTGCATGTTGTCTCTCCTATTAGGCTTTTAGCTCCTTAAGGGAGTATCTTTTGCTTTTTTTTTTGTATTCCTAGTGCTTAGCATTGTGACTGGTACAAAGCAGGCACTTAAAGCTAGTTAATTGACTGATAAAGCCAGTACTTAATAAATGTATGAAGTTAAAAACAATGAACTATTTGATATTAAGATATTGAATGAAAAACATTAATTTTTAACTGCTGTATGGGAATGAATGAAGAGACTAATTTTGGATGATCATATAACCCAGATTCTCAACCTTGGAGTCCTCCTCCATCTCCTCACCCCACATAGCCAGTTGCCAGATCTTGAATATACAATTGAATGATACACTTGCTTACTATGTACTTGCAGCTGTGCTTAACTACTATACAGATACAAGCAAGCAAGATTGTTCTTGCCCTCAAGGAATTTACATTCTATATAGAGCAGTAGAGGCCAGGGAAGAACATTGATTTATATAAAAGTTTTGATTCTGCCTCTGCAGTATTTTTATTTCTTTCTCTCATCATACAGCTATCACATTAAATTACCTTGTATTATTTATAGGCATATACACATATGCTTTTTTTTTTGTATGTAATGATATGTACATCGTGAATCCCCCCTAAAGAACGTCAGCTCTTTGAAGGCAAGGACACTCATATTGTTCTTGGTTTCTCCGTCACCTAGCATCATGTTGATGCATAATAGGCTGTTAAAAAATCAATTTTGAATCATCTTTCTTCATCAATATCAGTTATACACATTTAGTATTTCACAGTTTTCTTGAATAAATTTTATTTATTATTGTCCACTCCATAGGGTTCTTGTGAGAAATGTGCTTTGTAAACCTTAAAGCACTGTTTTAGTATGACCTATTATTCTAAAATATTTAGGCTTGCAGCTGGCATTATACCAAATCTAGTTCAAAGTGTTTGAGTCTACAAGTTAAGATTATCAATGCAATTTTTAGATTCTTATGCTGTCATGCAGTATTGCATAGTCATGTTTGTATTGCTGTTACTGTGTAAGGGTATTAGGTTTTATCTTCTTCCTATGAATCATCCCCTGGTGGTTGTCTCATAGAGCAGTGAAATAACTAAGTAGTAGTCATTAGCAAGGTGAAAGAGAAGATGTAAAATACTTAGAAAATGCCTAAAGCAAGTTATTCTTTCCTTTGTAATTGAAATTTGATTGTCTCATTTCTTTTGGGACATTTATGCTGATATCTTTAGGAAATATGTTAGCATAAAGAAAATTTAAAAACTGGGTAAGTTAATAAGAATAATTATCTTGAAATCTGTATTTCATAAATCGCTTTGCATTCATCATTAGCCTTGATAATCGTTTTTAAATGAGAATTTTATAAATTTGTGGCTTTATAGAATTTGATTTGTAATTCATTTTAAGTAATATTAATGCAGTCTCTTTGTATGAAGCCATGAACTTTATGACACTGTAAAAGTATGTCCAGGCATCAAGGTTTAGTAGAACAATAGACTAGCTCATAGTTAGGAGACCTGGGTTTTGTCTTCCTATTCAATTAGCTAGTTATGCATTCTGGGATAAGTTACATTCTCTCTTTTATTTTTATCATTTGTAAAACAAGCAGGTTGTACTGGATGTTCTTTATGGGTTCTTCCATTCATAAAATTCTGCAATTATAATAAATGTTTGTAAAGAATGATGTCCGCTCACTGGTTCCTACCTTTAATGAGGGGCCAAAAGACCTCACTGGTCTCCATTCTGATAAGTATAGTATGTTCCCTTGTATTATTTAATCAACATTTTAATATGACTTACTTTACTCTTAATATAGTTTTCAAAAATATTTTTCTCTATTTTCTTGCGTATTTGCTTTTTGTTACGCTGACCCTTACTTTGTCATTGGAACTAATCAATATGAACTGACCTAGATTTACTAACCCACAGAATTAGCTGCATTTTGGGGGGGCCTCCCAGGCAAAGGGGCAGGTGTGTGGGGATTCTGTGTAGTCTGTTTTCCTCTCTCCTTGAATTGGCTCACAGTATCACTTTTTTTTAGTAGTCATATTCAAGTCCTGTTTCTGGTGAATGGAAATTTAAGTACATAAATGGACTTTGAAGATAACATGGCCAGTACTTTGTCAGAGAGCTCTCTGAACTTGTTGCTCAGGTGAATATTTGTTAGCTACATTGTTATATTAATTCTTTATGGAAGGGTTCTTAATTTTTTTTGTATCATGGACCTTTTGGGCAGGCTGTTGAAGCCTGTGTATTCTTTCTCAGAATCATGTTTTTAAGGCATAAGTAAAATACACAGAATTACAAAGGATGCCATACACACACACACACACACACACACACACAATTATCAAAATAGAAAAAGCAGTTTCAGGAATCCAATGTTAAGAAATCCTGCTTTGCAGTATGTAATGGAGATAAAGCCTGTGACTAGTGAACATAGCATCTTGAGACATGCAAACAAAGCAAAGTACATCATAGGAGAATGGAAATATATTTTAGATGCCAAGAAAATTGCAGTATGTCTGGGTATTTTCTTTTCTTTTATATTTGGTCATCGTTTCTAACTTTCACCCTTTTGGAGAATAATGTTAGTAAACATGCAGTGGGAATTTTAATTACAACTGAGAACATTCATTGGCAAGGCAAATGGATAGTGGGGGGAAAAAACCTTTGAAGCATACAAATAGAGACTCGACTTAGAGTTTAAACTGGCTGGTTTTAATTTACTTTTAAAAGTACAGTACATTCAACGCAGGGGAAAATCTACTTTATTTACTTCTTTAACTTCAAGTTACCTTGTTTTTCTTTAACAGTTTATTTTGCTTCGTTAATTATTATGAATATTTTAATGTGATCAACAGATTAGCACCAACCACTTGTCAATGGGTATTATAGTTTTGGTGCTTTTAGAAACTTCTATTTTATTTTTCTTCTATAACTGAAGAATGAGACTGGGTTTCTTTACTTGATATCTTGATTCAGATTTGCTTATTCTTTTCAGTGCTTGTCATTGAAGAGGGACTGTCATCTTTTTTTAGTTTTTAGTTGTGACACCTGTGCCACTGTGACTATAACACCTTAAAAATTTTTCTCTCTTTTTTCTCTAATGAATTATCTCATCTACAGTGATTCTGTCCCTAGTTCAGACTGAAATAGTTGATTTGTCTGATCTGAGAGGCAATTAATGACAGTTCTTCTTTATCTGAGTGATATATGTCTGGTTTATTCTAGTCACTGATTTGGATTGTTTGTATTTTTTTCTTCTCTTATCTTAAAGTAACAAACACTTTTTTTTTGCTTCCTCATTTTCCCATAGACATACATTTACGCATTCTTGCAGTATTTATATGGGAATGTAGAGTTTTAATAGAGTTTTCAAGTTGGTTTTCTAAAAAACAACCCATTTATTATCTTTAATTTTTCATCTTGTATGATTAAACAAGATCTGTGGAACGTGATTATTTTAAGGATGAATAATTCTTTCAGAATATCAGTTATTTTTCTTGAAACTGCACTGATTCTGTACTAACTTTATTCTCTGTAAGAGTAATTGGTTAGGTAGGAGTTGGAAAGTTGAAGTCAGAAAGGATTTGCCATTTTCCATTGTTTTCTTATGTAAGCAGCATAGTATAGGTCAGAGGTAGCCATATGTGGTAGATAGATTACTGGCCATTCAGCCAGAAGAACTTGGGTGTTAAATCCTGCCCCTGACACTTATTAGTGCATTAGTTATGTGGCTAAGGGGCATTTAATTATTAATTTAATTATGAAATCTAAAGGATTTCCTAGATCATCAGATCATAATAGATTTAGAGCTGAAGGGGACCTCAGAGGATATTCAGTCCAAATCCTTTGTTTTATAAATGAGAAAGATGAGGCACAGAGAGGTTAAGTGACTTATTCAAGATAATTTTCTGATTTTAACCCAGGCCTTCCTGATGTCAAGCCCAGTGCTATATCCATCATATCATGGTGCCTCCCAAGTTATAGAAAGATTGTTTTCTCTCTTGGTTTAGGGAAATTTCTAAACTGTAAGTTACTGTGGATCTCTTATACTGATGAAGTCATGGATAATTCACTATTTCCTATGATTATAGCTATGGTGTAATTGTGGTATCATGAAAGGGTAGTGAAGAAATGGAAAAACTTTTACATGATAGACAAAGAGGAAGGCAGTCAGTTGATTGGGGAAAATAAACTTTATATTACATACTTCAGATGGAGGTTTGCTTTTTCCTTGTGGATAGCAGTCAGAGGATATGAGCAAACAGTTCTCTAAAGAATTACGAAGTATTAACCATAAAAAAGATTGTTCCAAATCACTAATGATAAAAGAAATGCAAGTCAGAAAATCTGAGGTTTGTAGCATATTGTCAGTGATGAGAAAGGATGATGTTGGAGGGGTTGTGCAAGAATAGACGTATTAGTATACTTTTGATGGAGCCAGAAATTGCTCTAACATACTGGAAGGTAATTTGGAATTTCATTTAGAAATTTATCTAAGTGTTCATACATACCCTTTGACCCAGAGAGCTCACTGCTAGACAGATACTTCAGAGTGGTCAAAGATAGAAAGGAAAGTACAATTTCTACTGACATTTATAGCAAAGTATATATACATATATATATATATATATATATATATATATATATATATATGTATATATATACACTATAGTAGCAAAAAACTGGGAACAAAAGTAGATAACCATTGATTAGGAAGTGATTAAACAAACTTTAACACATAAATATAGTAGAATATTGTTATGATGTAAGAAATTACAAAAATGAAGACTACCTAAGGCAAAGTGAAGTGAGCAGAAGCAGAAAATAGTTTATACAATGGCTGCAATAACTTAAATGGAAAGAACAACAACTAAACAAAAATAGAATATTTTCTAATTATTAACCAATCTTGGCTCTGAAAAACAGATGAGAAAATGTGCTTCCGTTTTTGCAGAGATTGGAGACACTGCATGTGTTCAGTTGGTGTGTTTGTTAATATGGCAGAACTGATTAGTTTCTCTCTTTTTATTCATTGTTGCAAAAGATGGTTCTCTGGGTAGGGGAAGAACGTTTGGAAATGAAAGTTTTGCTTTTTTTTAAAGATAGTACTGAACTTGTAGTCCAAAAGAACTGGTTTTGAATTTACCATATTCCATTAAAATCTGGTGGAGTAGAGATTATGATGAATTTAGAGTCTGCTGACTTCCCTGTGGATCCTTGGTCACCTCATTTCAATTCTTTGGTTCTGGGTTTCTTCATCTGGGGACTGAACCGATTAAAGCAGATCATCTAAGAGGTCTAATTATTTGATCCTCTGTAGCCACTTAACCATTTCTTAATCTGTTTCTTAATCTAAAATATGAAGGGGTTGGATGCTGGGCCCTTTTTGACACTAAATCCTCTGCTCTTGAATTTAGACCACTACTCTTGTAATCTTCGAAATAATTTTTTTGAAACTTTTTAAAAACCTTTTTGCCAAATGAGAAGCTTTTAAATGAATGCATAAAATGATACATAGCTTAATTGGTGGTAAATATACTTCAAAATTTATATAAAGCTCTTTTATCCCATTCGTGCTGAGCTTTTTAAAAGCAATATATTTGTGATCAAAAGTTTTTCTTTTAAAATGTAGTTTTCTTTTATAGGAATCACATGCTGCCCAATTACAGATCCTTATGGAATTCCTCAAGGTTGCAAGGAGAAATAAAAGAGAGGTATATCATTTTGTGTTTGATTTACTGAATGTTTTTTAAATATTGCTACCTTTTCTTATTTTGTAATAAATTTTTCATGTGGGCACAGTGTTAATATTTAAGTTGAACAAATTTGAAAAATAAGATTTTAAGGCGAGATTCTTGATCACTTCATTTTTTAACTTCTCAGTTGATACAGTTGATTGATTCTTTTGAGGTGGGTTGAAAAGTTTGTCAAGGAATGGTTGTTAAAGACCTGCACTAGAATTTTGGAGAAAAGATGAGAGTGTAAAGATGGGTAAATATCTTTTTCACCTAAGATTAAAGTGATTGAGATTTTTCATCGAATGATTTAGGATTTGTTTTGTGATCATATCTGTTATGGATGAAAAGAGAGGCAGAGCACAACCCTAATATTTGTAGTCACTCTTAAGGATGGTGGAGGGATAGGAAAGAAACCAGATAAAGCCTAAACAATTTGAAAGGTGAAATGTGAAATGGTATTGGGAATATTTTGTGGAGAAGAAAACAGTAAATTACCCAGAGTACAGTGAAATAAAATCATAGCTATTCATTGGAATTTTAACCTTTGGAAGGTATGTAATAGTAACAATGTTATGGAAGATCATTTTAAAACTCGGAGAATATTAAATATTTCCCTGTTTAAAGTTTGTAAAATTCATCAAACTTTTTATATATTTGAAAATGTGGTCAAATACATTATTGTAATGATGATGATGATGGATGATGATGGATGATGTTACTACTTTAGAAAAAAATTAAGTGAAGATCTGCCATTTGAAAATCTTTTTTATTTAAACCTTTACTTTTTTCAAAGCTCAGCCTTTTATGCTTTATAATTAGTTTAAGAGGGGTATTTGTTCACTGTCTCCACCTTTTGAGGAGGCTATAAAGGTAAGAAATTATTTCTTTTAAAAATTATTAAATATTATTAAATCATTATAATTCTTTATTATTATTATTATTTTTAAACAAGCATTGTGACAACACTTTTAGTGTTCCTTTGTGTGATGGCTTTTCTGAATATGTACCATTTTACATGTGTTGTGGTTTTTTAATCTCTGGATTGTATGCTATTTTTGTTATCATTGGAGTGGTTTCTTGCCAGGGTTGTTTAGTGAATATGCTATGATGATTATATTTACATCTCCTTATGTGGCATATGAATCTTTTTCCTACTCTAACCTTAGAACTTTAGTAGCTGGTAGCTTGTTTTTCCTTTTTTTTAAGCAAAATAAAAATTAACTTTAGTTAGGTGAAGATTTGGGTTTTTTTTAAATTATATTTTAGTCCTGCAAGCAAATGGCTGAAGTCTCATTTTTTCTCCCAAATAGAGAAAAAAGTACTGCATTTTATAGAAGGTCATTAAGGAAAGTAAGCAATCAGCAGCCTAGCCTGTCATTTTCAGTGAGGGTTCCTTAAAAAAAAGACTGGCTATTGGTTTGCCCCCATAATCACTAGTATATATTTGGTATATATTTAGGTAGTATGTATGTTATTTTCCATAGTAGATGGAAAGCTCAGTGAGGGTAGGGTCTTTTTTGCCTTTCTTTTTCAGTGTCTAGCATAGTATCTGCTGTATATTAGATGCTTAATAAATGTGGATTAATTAACTAGTTGTACTTTAAGATATTTATCAGGACTGAGATTTATCAAGCCATCTATCTCATGCTTAAGGTAAGGGAATGATTGTGACAATGAAACACCTTTTCTTGATGACTCTAATTTGCCTTTTATTCTCTGATATAGCGCTCGTGCCCATTGGTGCTGTGCTAGGCCTAGCTATCAGTAGATTAAATAGATATTATGATTATTATTAGTTTTATATATCTAACATATAAGATGTAATATAATGACAATAAATGTTGTTAATACAGCTCTATTGTAGAGTATACCACAGAACTTGAAAGGTCTTTGTTTTTTCTGTTGATTGACTTGGATCACTACATCTCATTTTCTTTCTGTAGGCTACTTAGCCATGCAAATTCTAAGTTTTTCTGTCTTTTTCTTTTTAACCCCCCATCAATGTAGAAGTGTATTAATTTACACTTTTGGGATTGATAGTGGTTTTTAGGACTTCATTGTAAATTACACAAAAGACTAGGCAGCCAGGTTTAACAAATTTAAAAACCGAAACATTTATTGGCACTTCTATAACTTTGACATTTTTAACTTTGCGAATGGGAGATATAGCTTAACTACAAATCCTTAAACTTTAGCTCATGAGCAGATAGACTTAAGAATATTCTAGATATTTCTAAGGAAACGTAGATATCTTTCTTTTTAGGAAGATACGACAAAGTATCCTGGCAGAAATAATAAAAGAAAATTTAATATCAGATAATTTGTCTTTAATATTGGTGCTGTTACTTCCTAAATTTAAATATGTTTTTCACTTGCTTCAGTTATTGTCACATGTGATACAGTTAATTGTGGTATAAATTTTATAATTGAGATTTTTTTAAAAAAAGAGAAGTAGAATATTCTGAGTCTGCAAAATCAGAGGCTTACCTGTAATCAGGTATGAGTTATTTTCAATGGTCTGATAAATTTAGTGATCCAAATAGGTTTGATGACTAGCATTTAGATTACTATAAACAATGTCAATTCTGTCAAATTAGAATTACTTAAATAGCATTTTTTTATGTCATGCTTCCATTTTATCCTTCCCATCTGGCTTTCTTCCTCCTATGAGAATGAAAAATCCCAATTACTTTTCTTAGTTATCCTTTCTTCAAATGAATACATAAGGCATTGGATTCTATATGGAAAACTTAAAAGGTCCATCAGCATTGGAATGTCTGCCTTTTGGATGTCAACTGAATTTTTGGTAACTCTTTGAGGTAACTCTGATGTTATTGTTGGTAAGCCTGCTTTTCTGTGCATTTTATCAAGTTTGCATTTTAATGTACAACTTGATTTTTAAAGCTTCCATGGATATGTTCCTTCTGTGAAATAGGACATGATTGGAATCTATTAACAACGGAAAAGACTTGCTTGAGTTCATTTCACATGAAGGAATTAATTTTGATGGTGGTTCTTCCTTTGAATTAAATTTATGTTCATTTGAGTGACTGCTTACCAGTTTTCTTTGAAGAGTTTACAAAGAGGTTTCTTTTATCCAGCTCACATATATCTTTAGGAGACAAGAGTTGTAGTCTGGTTCCACAAACTTAATTCATCTAATATACTAAGTAGCTGTCAGAATTTTTAAATTCTTTAAAATATATATATTCACGCAGATAATGCATTCAGAATCTCTGAAATCATACCATCAGTTAAAATCCTAAGAGGTCAAAGAAAAGACTATCAGGATCATATAGATCAAAGCTTATAAACATAGAGGGGGATTTCTTTCCTTTTTATATTCTGCCAGGGATGTTAAATGAGACATCTCAATTTTTAAAACTTAAGTAATTTAATTGGTTTGTTCCCTTTAACAGGGAATATTGCAAGGCCACTTACCCTCTTTTTCTTGGACATGAATTCATAAATTGCTGGCATCAAAAAAAATCCATAAATTGGAGACTGACCTTGTGTTATGACCTTCAAGCTTAGCTATTTTAGTTCTTGAATGATGGTCCCTTGCCAGACTCATATTTACTCTAATCAAGTCTAAATGGATTCTCTTTCCTATATGGATACCAAGTCTTCAAAAAACAAACAAAAATCCCCACTGGATTTTGAGCCAATTAAAAAAAACTTGAAAGGGATTAAATGCTAAAACATTATTTTACAATGATTATGAAAAAGTATGTTCTTGTGTAAAACTGTTAGAATGTACGTATGGGTTGTGTAATACAGAGGCAGATTTTAGTACTTTTGGTCTGTGTCTTGTTTTAGTGTTTCAATATGTATCAAGAAAGTATGTGTAGGAGATTTTTTTTTTTGAGGGGGAAAGGTAGAGAAAGTCAGGTCTTGTTCTGTGTCAATCATAGTTTTTTTTTCATTTTAAAAATTGTTTTTAATAGCTCTGGGAGCTATTAAAATAGCTTTTTATTTTTTTATCTTATTAATTTATTTTTAGTTTTCAACATTCACTTTTTTGATTTTGAGTTCTGAATTTGTTTTTAGGCAATTGAGGTTAAGTGACTTGCCCAGGGTCACACAGCTAGTAAGTGTCAAGTGTTTTGGTCTGAGTGCGGATTTCAACTCAGGTCCTCTTGACTTCAGGGCCAGTGCTCTATCCACTATGCCACCTAGTTGCCCCAAAATATTAATTTTTTAAATTTAGTTTTTATTTAGTTTTTTTGTTTTTCCATTCAATTGAGTCGTTTCATATATTGATGTGTCATTTGCTATAAATGTATTAGGGTTACCCTGTCTCCGACAATTATTTAGATATCGGATGTTATATACTGTTATTTTTTTTTCTTAGATTCAGAACTCTGATCTTGTAAGCAGATTTGATCCAATGGCTTGTCTGTTGCCACTGCCAGTTTGTGATTGATTCCTGCTTTTTCTTTCTACAGCTCCAAAACATCACTTCTTGGAACCTTTCTTTATGTTATGAATCCAGGTGTTGCCTCTCAGCATTGTGAAACTTGTTTATAAATGGAATTTAGCCTGGCTTTTATTTAATTCCCACTCAACTTTTGCTTTGGATGCACTTTGCACTTATTGTAGAGCAAGGGACATCCAAAATGCTGCTCTCTAGAAAACCTAGGGTTGACTATGCTGTCCCCTAAGAACTAAATGTTTTCTTGAGGTTACAGCATTAAGAAATACTATGAAACATGGAGCAGCTAGGTGGCGCAGTGGATAGAGCTCCTGCCTTGGAGTCAGGAGAACCTGTGTTCAAATCAGGCCTCAGACACTTGACACTTATTAGCTGTGTGACCCTGGGCAAGTCACTTAACCTCAATTGCCTCACCAAAAAGCAAAGAAAAAAATGCTATGAAATAATTAGTAAAAAGTGTGTTGTCTTTTCTTTAGCTATAGTATAATAAAGTATTTGCCTTATAGAGGCAAAAAAATATATAATGTAATGAGTGCTGAGC